GCAGGAATTTTTTAAATAAAAATTGTGATGTTTTCTATTATTGCTTAAGGCACTTATAGGTATTATGAATAATTTTTTTCCACAATAATTATGTTTAAAATCATACCACATAGTTAATTTATGAATTATTAATGATACAGAATCTGTGAATCCTTATAAAATTTATTTTTTGGTCGTCTTGTAGTTTTCCTTTGCTGTAAGTAGTTTCCCATGATAGTTACAACAGCAGAATGTTAACATATGCCGAAGTTCTATGCTACAATTATCTTTCAGTGAGACAACATGTCAGTCATACCCTTTTCTCATTTTGTCTCTAGTTGGCATTATGTGATATTAGAAGACTATTTTCATTTTTAAACTCTGTAATTATCTTCCCACTCAATATAAAACGGTTCTTTCATCTGCAATGGCAAATAGTGCTCTGTTTTTTTATGAAAGTGAGCGCACCAGCAAGTTTATTCAACTAAAGTGCAATATATATTGTATTTTTTCTTTTTATTTGCAGAAATTTTATAATTGGAATAATCCTTCCTGTTACAACTACTTGATCCAGAACATTAAGCTTTTTATTATTTAGCTTGAGATATAGAATCTGTCAGGTGATGTGAATAGGAAAGCTAACGTCAAGTGCGACAATTTTATAATAATTCTTATGTATTAGAAAATACATGTTATGCTCTGCAACTTTATAAGTATCTTCAGAATAATTCTAGCTAAGTAGCTCATTTCAGATTTTGAAAACCATATGAATTTGGAGAGATGTTGCTTTGTACAAAAGAGAAATTCTATGGCATTATGAGAACAGATGCTTGTAGAGAAAAACAAGGAAGATAACGAGTTAGTGTATACCACTCAACTTAGTTCGCAGTTCATAGCTCGGGTACTGTACTGATAGAATTGCTCAGATGAACGCTGAAATTATGTGCTGCCCATTTACTTTACTCTCTCAGTGAGAAACATCTTGGGCAAGGAAAGACTTGTAACACCTCAGACAAAGAAAATACAGCAAGTAAGAAAGTTGTGTTCTGTTCTCTCAAATGTCTTGTATCAGAGGAGATGGTGAACAGTCATTTCTTTTTCATCTTAATGCCAGTCATGTTTTTATTGACTTCTGTCATATTCATATGTATTTCATTGCATTCTCTTGCTCTGAGGACAAAACTTATTATTTACACATCAAAAAGGTATATATTTCAAGTTTCAAAAAAGTAAAAATCCACAAGACTTGAAAACACTGTGAATGTACCTCCTGTTTCACAGCACAGCTATACCAGTTTACCAGTATGTGAGAAATAGTCAACAATATTGAGAGTTCTGTTTCAATTGTGAGCAGTATTTGTGTTGTTGAACATTTAATTTTCCTGAATAGCAGCTTGTCCAATTAGTCATCTGTGTCACTGGCATGAATTAATCTATTCTGACAAAAATTACACATTGTAGGAGTTCATAGGGTGATGCGCAGTTACAAAGCCCCATTTTCCCTTACCGCAGGCAATCCATGTAGAAGAGTGACGCCTGTGTGTTTTCTGTGAATTCACCCATCAGGGGAATTCTGGGGATTGAGTTTATTCCTTCAAGGGAGAAAGCAGAGACTCAGTACCCCATCCTTAATCTTCATACCCCCTCAAAAGGTAAGGGATGTCCATGTTCAAGCCTCTTGTTGCTGTACCACTGGGCTTTACCAGCTGCCTGCATCTTGTCCTGCTGTTTTTTTGCAAGATGCACTGGGGTCGTGTTTATTGTTTTGAACAACATTTTTAAAATAAATACAATATTTAATTATCCCCAATATTTGCGAACTCACTTCAGAATCACAGCAATGTATTTTGTTTGTGCAACAGTTTGAATTTTTCTCTTTGACAAAGAATTGTTTATTTCTGATGAGTGTTGAATTTACCATTTGTCTTTCATTTTTATTCTGGTATTTCAGCATTGCTTAATCATTTGACTGATAATTAGCTATTCTCATTAAAAACTTTGAATAACAACAGCAGATACCTAAAGTGACACTTTTCAGAAGTTCTCTATAAACAAATGTGTGTTCCTTGGGATTTTTTTTCATCTGTACATGTATTTGCACACACTTTATCAAGCATTCATTGTACGCACACACAGTCAGCATAATCACTAAGTAATTTTATTGGAATTGAGATCTAAGACTTAAAGACTTGACTATGTCTGTTTAATTGATAGTCCTGGCTGGGAAGATATTTACTATTTATTAAAATTACCTTTGTTGGTTTGGTATAATACTAAAATATTATATTAAATACTGGTATTAAACTAGTGTGTTAATAATATTAAAAGACCCTTGTGCTATTTTGCAGATACTTAAAACCACTGTAATTCCATGTCTGATACCACAGACATATCTGGAGCTCAGAGTGAAGGTATACGTCTTTGCTACCTTCACTCTGAGCTCCAGATCGCAGAAGAATTATATTTGCTGGAACGATCTGAGTGATGATAGAGGAGGAGAAAGTGGGTACTCTCTTCTCTTCATTAAAGACTGCCAGGCCAGATGAGTGAAGAAGGTTTCTTGTGAGCGACTAGCAGAATCACCCAATACAGTTTATTTGCATTGGGTGCATCCTTTGAGAAAGGGATAGAAACAGGCATTGTTCCAAAGACGTAATGGCCGGCAAATTCTTGGAAAGCACTGAAGACAGGTATTTTTCATAGAGAAAGTGGAGAACATAAATAAAGCTGAGAGGGAGAAGGCAGGAGACAGTTTATCTGAGAGCAATCATGAAGCAATGTGTTTTGTTAAAACCTTACAACCCTCATGTAGG